CACGATGGCCCAGCACACGGCTCCTGCCTGTGCTTCTCTAACACCCATGCTGTTGGGAGCCCACCTCCTCTCCTCACGTGGGAGCCGCTAATGGGCACTGGACACTGGGATGCAGTGAGGATGGACATATGGACAAGGGAGTCCCCCCACCGGACAGAGCTGGCTGAAGGAAGACGGTCAGGGACCTCCTGGTGGCCTGAGCATCCCTTTGGCCACCCTGGGAAGCCTGATGTGACCCTAAAGGCTCCTCGGAGGAAGAAGTTTCTTCCGTGGGCACAGAGTGTCTAGGTTTTAGAATATAAGGATGGATGTCAGAAACATTCTCGTTGATGTTTCTGTCCTGGGCTGGTCCATGGGTGGGTCTGAGTCACTGGACCAGCTAGCAGCCCATCTTCCAGACTCACTTAGCAGAATTTGCGTTTGTAAGGCCTCCACGTTCATTTCCAGGAGTGCGATACCTTACCACCTCACACCCAAGCATGTAGAAATCTCTGCCCGCCGAAAGAGAGGAATCACACTAAAAATGCAAAAAGAAGGCTCAAAACTTAGGCAGAATCCCTTCGAAAGCTAACAAGGTACACAGGGGGCATTTACTTCTGCTGTGGAGGCTGATTTATTAAAGACAGACCAGTCTTGAGAAAGAATCTCAAACATGGATGACTTAAAGCTTCTTCACTGGAAGAGAAAATGTGGAGCCCGGCTCACAATCGCAGAGATTCAGCTGTCTACACGCAGGATGCGCAGCAAAACGCCACAAGGTATTTATAAATCACCAACAAAGCATGACTCCACAAAGTTATTTCCAGTCTTGCTTGTCCATTTGGGGCAGGGCCCATGAGTTTCTAGGGTGCACATCTCCTCACAGACCAGGAACACTGCTTTCAGCATCTCAACGTTAGAACAGGCTGACTGTGAAGCAAGTTCTCAGACAAGTGTGTTTCCTCGGGGATAGTCATTGTTGATAAAGTTACACAGACGACGGATTTGCACTCTAGGAAGGAACCCATATGGAAAGAAAGTCGGAAGGACTCTTTTTCTAGCGCAGTCTCAGGCCTGAGCATTTCTGACAGCCGCAAAACCAGAAAAAGCCAAGGGAAAGTTGAAGTCACAGTGTGGGGAAATTTTAACCAGAAATGGCTACGTGATTTCCACAAAGCTCACACAAAAGAGGGACGTATTTGTGTGAAAGAAAAGAAAAAGAGAGGTAAGCTTTTTAGACAAGTAAGATTGAAGGATGGTTTCGGGGAGTCCTCGGAACCACCTGTGACCATAGGCCAGCACCCGGCTGAAAAGCCTCCCGTGAAAAGCAAACTCACCGGGTCTGTGTGGAAAGGGGTGTGTGAGTTTAGGTGCAAATGTAAAGTTTAATCAGGTTTTGGGTTATACTCTGAAAGGCTCAGACACTCCGGTGGAGACCCCAAATCACTGCCAGTCGGTTCCTGGGGCCCTCCCTGGGGTGGCCTGGGGTGACAGGACACAGCTCTGGGACCCTCCCACAGAGGGTTTCCCTCCCCTCACTGGAGGAGGCCAGACGATGAGTCCCCACATCCCATTTATGATGTCCTGAGAGGTGTTCCTCAGGAACCTGGATTCTGGGACCCCTACCCAAATGGCCCTGAGCCTTCCTCACTGGACTTCCTGGACCTCTGTCGCCTGGCTGGGGAGCAGACTGCTCTGGGTCACCTCTGGCCATGCCTGATCCAATTCCCCAGGCGAGGAGGGATGGCGACTGGGGGCTGCTTCCCCGCACTTCCAAGCCAGCAGCCGAGTCACCTCTTGGTACCTCCCACCCTCCCACCTTAGTTTCCGCTCACTCCAGAACCCCTGGACTCGAGGGCCTACATCTTCCATCACGGGTTTCTGGTTCCTGCCTGGAATCCCATCCCCCTTCTCCTTTAGAAAACGCCTGCCCACTTTTCAAACCCACTCAGCTGCCCTTCAGCACTGCATTCCCACGGCACCGGGGGGAGCACGGCCACGCTCACACACCGTGGGAGCGGTCCAGAGGTGGGCCTGCCTACAGGACAGCGGGCTCCTGCAGGGTGAGCTGTGTCCGGGCTTTTAGAAGGGTCCAGCCCGGTGCCGCCATGTTGCAGGGGCTTGGAGATGCTTACAGCAGGCTGAGTGCAGGAACCTGTGTGTAGCTCCCGTAGCTCTGACTCATGCATTTATCTGTTCACTGGCCACCGAAACGGCTCAGGTTAGCCCTGGCAGCCTTTCTTACAACAAACAACGTTCATCTGACAATTTCTGAGCGCCTTAGATGTGTTGGGTGTCATAGTGGGTGGAGGGGTAAAAAGAACGGTTTGTCTCAGTGCCGAACAATCAGGGACTGAGCAGCTTTTGTTCTGCGCCTCGTCAGACGCTGCGTAAGGGTTTCTCGGGATGCTCAGGTCCCCCCAGGGGGCTTATACTCTCAAGGGTAGGATAACCGAGACTTGTTCCTTAACCCTGGGGAGGCCACCAGCAGGCCCACCCTGACAGGTGGAGAAGAGGGGCCCCTCCTGGCCCGAGCCTGGCCCCGTCCTGCACCTGCCTGCACGGGGACCCCCCTGGGCAGGAGGTCAGGCTTCTCCACCGGGGTCTCCTCCCTCCGTGAGGTGGGTCCGGGAGGAGGCCTGCGCAGGCCTTGGCCACAGGTACAGGCTGCCTGGGTGGAGAATTCTGAAATTCCGGGTGCCTGGAGCGTGGTCTTGAAGGGGTGGACGCTGACCTTGGCCCCTGGACTCCCTGCCCTGTGGTTTCTAGGATGCAGGGCCCAGGGCCGAGGATGGGGGTCAGAGCCAGTGATGACAAAGTGTGAAGCTGCAGGCTTATGTCCACTCTTTTAGGCACGTGGGGAAAAAAAGCACCTTTAAGCAAAGGGGAGAATTACCCTTGTTTGTCTGCTTGGCCTTCATGCCTGCCTGGGATGCACTGCCACGGAGGGCAGAGGCCTTACGGGGACCCTCGGCTCATGGAGGACGAGGCGCACGCACCCTCCTCAGGACCCCGGTGGGAGGTGGAGCCCCGCCATCGGCAGATAACCGCACTGCCTTGGGAGACGGGAGCTCGTGCCGTTCGGGCCCGGGCCAAGAGGGGAAGCCTCATCTCTCAGATGCCGAGGCATCAGGGCGCTAAGGCTGCCGGGGCGTTCTCAGCCCAGTGACCGGGAAGGCTCCCTGTGCCAGGGGTGGCAGCTGCCCTCCACAGTAACTGCTCTGTGCCTGTAACTGCGCTGAAGGGCAGGAGGCTGCAGAGTCTGCTCTACCGTTTGGTATTGTTAGAGAATGTCTTTGCTGACAGGAGATCCCTCGTGCCCTTTTTTCAGGCAGAGTATTGGCCGGTTGGGGTGCGTGGGGAAAGTTCACCAGGAAGGGGGTCACGCTGAGGGCAGCTTATGCGTCCAGAGGGTAAGTATCTTACCGGAAGCCACGCACAAAGCAGGGAGCACAGAACTGGGCCCCAGCCCATGTCTGGTCTGACTCCAGAGCCCAGGGTGTGCCCACTGACCTCCTCAGGTCAGGTGTGATTGGAAAAGTAAGGTCTCTGTCCCCTCCCCTGAGTCATGGTGTACGTGTGACTGCAATAGAGGCCGTCGGAAATGACGTGTGTGACTTCTAAGGCCGGGCCATTCAGGGCTTCTTCCTTGTCACCGTGAGCCTCCCTCTGCAAACCCTCAGCTGCCACGTGGAGCCACGCTGCAGGCGCCACACCAAGGTGCTCTGGTCAGCGGTCGCAGCCGACCTAGTCCTCTGGGCACCGCAGACACGGACAGCAAACAAGGGAGTAGACGAGCCTTCTCCGAGGGCTCCTCCAGCAGCAATGGCTCCAGCCCCAGCCGTCGGCGTCACCACCAGCCATCCGAATCGTCCCACCCCGGGCCCCGGATCCGGGGGTACAGCAACCCCTCTGTGCCCTTTCTGAACTACTGACCCCTGGAAAGTGGTTCTTGGGTGTGTCACTAAACTTGGAGACTGTTTCCCAGCAATAAGTAACCAGAACGGAATTAAGAGCATTCCGGGGGAGAGCGAATGCCGCCGAGATGGGAAAGCATGGTGACGGACCTAGTGGAGCCTCTGCCCTGGGTCTTTCTGGTTCTGCAGCCACTCCTTGGAGATAACTTCACCCCTGCACCCTCCCCAAACTCTCCGAATGGGGACAAGGAAAACCAAAGGCCTTCAAGCCACTGGGCCTGTGGACGAAGTGCTAGGGCAGTGGTGGACCACCTACTACGTGCCATTACATTTAATCCACGAATTTAACAAATACTTTGGCCCCATCATGTGCCAGGAACAGGTCTGGGAAGGAAGCCATGCACAAAACTACGTCCCTGTTCTCAGGGGGCTGATGTGTGAGTGAGGGTGACGGGCAGTAAGCAAATAACTCTACAATATTATGTCACAGAGTGCTCGGTGCTGTGGAGAAAAGTAAAGCCGGGTAAGGGGAAAGACAGGCAGTTGACAAAGGCTGGTTGGAAAAGGAAGGCGTCCCCGAGAAGGTGGCGTTTCGGCAGAGAGAGCCCATGCTCTGCGCAACCTCAGAACCCACGCCCTGGGCATGGGTATCAAGGAAAGAAAACTCCAGGTATCTTCCAGTGTACACACCCGTGGCCTCTTAGAAACACTACATTTGGATACACACTTCATATATAAAACAGATAAACAACAAGGACTAACTGTAAAGCACAGGGAATTATACCCAATATCTTGTAATAACTTATAATGGAAAAGAATCTGAAAAAGAATAGGTCCACGTATATATATACACACACATATATATTACATAACTGAATCACCGTGCTGCACACCTGAAACACTGTACATCAACTATACTTCAATAAAAACAGTTTTTAAAAAGTACATTTGGAGATCGCCCTCCATGGGGCTCACAGGCCCCCTACCAGGTATGTGAACAGGAGGGGAGACTCCTCTGAGAGCACCTCTCTGCACCCCGCCCCCCAGACCCCCGCCAGGCCTTCCCTCCGGCCCTGAAGACAGGGCCACCGGAGGGGTACTTACACAGAGCACGTGGAGGACGACTGCCCCCTGTCTTCTGTCCTCGTTGGTGAAGATGTCATTGGGGAACTCATGCAGGGCTACAGAAGGGAGAGAGAAAAACAGCTCAGTACGGGTGGCAACACGTTCAGGGCGGGAGGTCTGGGGCAGCGCCGCCACCCTCGTTCTGATACGGGGTCCACGAACCTGGATGAGGAAAGATTACATCTTCATGTTCACAAATCTCTAACTGGAATTTGGTGTTTCCTCCAGATAAGAACAGAGGCAACAAACTGCAGCTGTGCTAGAAGCACCCGGGCTCTGCCCCCAGGAGACACGTTCATGATCCTCTGTCCTGCCATCCTCATGGCTCACTCATCACCTTAGAGTGAGGGTGGCTTGCAAACCGCCACCTGTGACCAAGGGTTCGTGAGAAAACACGGGAACCACGATCATGCAGGTCTATCTTCTAACACAGTGACAACTTCACTTCAGTGGACCAGTCTCCCTCCGTCACCTCACACATCTTGCAAACACTGAAATGTTTTCCCGAGCAGAGGTCTGCAGGCTTCAGGGATTACCCAGGGGTCCGTGGCACACACAGGATTAAGTCCCTGCTCTAAACGGTCCCTCTGTCCCTCCTTTCCTTGTCCCACTCCTGCCCTGGCCTGGGGCCTGGGCCTCTTATGACTCCCTCCCGGCTCTCACTTCTATAACACATTGCCCTCCCCTCCCCAGGGAGTCCAGTACAGGGCAGAAACCATGAGAAATCATCCTTTCTGCCCACTTTCCAAACCCAGGACGCTGATGATGGCCGCTGTGGGGCAAAGCTAAGGAGAGGGAACCCTGCAGGGCAGGCCTGTCTCTCACCCTCGGGCACCCAGAGCCCAGATTTCCTGTCACCGTCCGGCCCACCGTGCGCCTGGACCTGGCCAACCCTGAGCCCCACTCCGTGGTTCTGAAGATGACAAGCCCCGCCCACAGGTCCTTCCTGACGTGCCCTTCGTCTGTATGAACTCTCAGCGCCCGTGGGATGGGCTGGCTGCTGACAGGCCAGGATGGGCAGAGACGGAGGCTCTGAGGGCAGGACGGCCACACAGACTTGTGCAGAGTTGACAACGGTGCATGCAGTTAGCTCTGCTCCTGGCAGGCGTGGGCCCTGCACTTGGCACCCGCTACGCCTCTGACCCGGGACGGAAAGCTGCTGCTCCCGTGCTGTAGACGAGGAACCCGAGGCGCAGCCGGACTGGACACCATGCTAGAGGGTCCACAACGAGGACCACGCACCCAGCAGACGGGCCGGGGCCGCCCTCGTGCTGTGATCCCGGCTCCCGGCATCTATTAACCATCTTACTCCACCCGGTGACCTCTTCCTTCTGGGGGCCCCTCCAAGCAGGGGACCTGATCTGATCTAAATTCTGCCTCCACACACCAGAGGGAAGCAGGTGGGCTGTTTGTTCCTTTGCATTTCTCCGTGCAGCTGCCACGGGGCTTTTCAGCGCCGGGCAGTTCCCGGGTAAATGTGACCATCCCATTGCCCACCTACCCCCAGAAGTGGAGACTGGTTGGTTGGCCTGGTTAGTGTACCGATCAGGACAGCTGTCATCCTGGGGAAACTGAAACCAGGGTCTGCCCTGTGATGGGCGCCACACAGAACATTCACGCGTGGGGACCGCCTACCGTCAGCGAGGAGGAAGTGGGAAAAGTGAGGGGGCTTCGAGGTACCTCTGGTGCTGATCTATGGAAGCCAGCTACTTTCATCCCTCCTACCCCACCCTGGCTGAGGGCAGCAGGTGAAGGGAGTGAAGGCCATGGTGCAGGCAGCCTTACCGGTCTGCGTCTGCAAGGCGCCCACACCGTGCCAGCTCCGTCATCCCTGCCTCTCTACCAGGACCTGCAGGAATGCAGGACCTGCAGGACCTGCGGGAATGGTTGGGAATGCAGGACCTGCATGCAGGAATGTAGGACCTGCAGGAATGCAGGACCTGCAGGACCTGCAGGAATGGTTTGATCAAGGGTACTACGTCAGTATGTGATACACTTATGTTTCGAATCCACGCATTCTGGTTTTTAAATCCCCTTGGCACTCAGCAGTGAGTGGAATGACCATGACCAGGCGGAGCCTCCGGGCTTTGAGTTCTGGTCGGGGAGGGTCTCGGCAGAGGTCTGGATGCCCAGCCAACCCTGGGACCTGGCTGGGGCTCTTGGATAGGACCAGGCTGAGGGCTGTGCCCTTGGAAGGGGAAGGACCCACAGAGCCCAGTGCTGACGCCGGAGGGGCTGAATGCTGTCCAAAGTCCTGGCCAAGCACATGTTGGGCAGGGGTGAGGGGGGGACGGGAGGGGGGAGTGGGCGTGGGGACCACAGCATTCTCCTTCAGGCTGCTCTTTCCTTACGGCTCAGGGACCCTCCTCTCTCTCTTGAGGCTTGGCAGTGTCCCTGTCTTGATCTGCTGCTCTTCCTGGCCTGGTGCCTGGTTCATCACCAGCCGGAAACTCCTAGTCCCCGGTCAAGGGTGTCTCCTCCTGTCGGAACCCATGACTGGCCACGAGAAAATCGGTGAAATTCTCCGTGAGACGATCCCAGTGTAGCAGTGGGGGGGCTGGGGGCTGTGAGCAGAGCAGCCGGCCCTGCCGGACCTCCTCACTGAGCTGAAGGTGGCTGGGCAGTGGCTGAGACAAAGCGTGGGTGTGTCAGGGGGTCAGCTGGGGGGAATGCAAGGCAGCGGAGAGTTAATTAAACGCTTTCCAATTGGTTTGCTTCTGAACAGCAACAGAAGTCTTCTTTGGTGGATCCCAGGCGTGTGGGAAGAGCGGCCAGGAGAAGTGTGCCTGGGAAGCCTCACCTGACACGGTTCCCACTCCGACCGCTCCTTCATGGCAGCCCCTCTGAAAACATGCACTGGGCTGCCGAGGAAATTACTACAATGATTTCAAAGAGCTAATGCACACCTTGCAGAGAATACTGCAGGTATTTCACGCTCCCTCTTAGAGATACATCATCTTTTGGAAAAACGTCACGAAAAGAGATTTCTTTTAACAACTGAGCTGGGGCTGTCTCCTCTTGCCCTCCAAGAGACGAGCTTCCTTCATAGGCGGGTCACTCCAGAGCAGGCCCCCAGACAACAGTTGGAAGGTCAGCAGGTGACCCCAGGAGGGGAGTGGAGAGGTAAGATAAGAAAGGGAAGGAGCTGACACCTAGGCTCAGACTTGCCAGGGCCCCTCTGGGAGCCACTGCAGAACATGCCCCGGGGCTATACGTGGACCCCCATCCGTCACGTTTAAGGCTGTCTTCAACACTTTAGGGCAGACCCTTAACACTTCTGCACACCTCTGCACTGGCCAAGGCAGGTGTGTTCCTCGGAACAGAGAAGGCCCTAGACAGAGTCACAGGCTCATCAAGAAACCATCCTCGCACGTGGCGTGGTGATGCCTGCGTGGTCTGCGTGGTGTCTGCAGGGGACGCCCACGATCTCCATGATCCTCCAAGCGCCCTTGTGAGGAAATGCAAGGGAATAGGGACAGAGCGTCTCTATGAATAGGAGGAAGAGCCCCTAACTTGCTCATGCATGACTGGCGTCAGCACAGAGCGGCGGGGCGTGGGGTGGAGGTGGCAGAAGGAAGACCCTGGGCCCGGGCCTAAAAGTGTGGGTAAACTGCCGTTGTGCTGTGCCTTCCGAGTCCAGCATGGCAGTGCCTGAGCGTTCAGAGCGCACTGCAGTGAGCTGCATTGTAACCTGTTCTTATATTAAGCATCGAATCCACCACGTTAGAATCTTATCTGGCTCATCTGCAAAGGGCAGTAGCAGATGACCCTGGCCACAGAGGAGGTGTCTCGGGAGCAGCCCTGTCACCAGAGACCCACGGGGGCAGCAGCTTTGTTGGGGGGATGCCCCCAGTGCTCATGACTTATCTCATCAGCCCCTCCTATGCACCCCACACAGAGTCTACCGGTACACACGCTGTTATTTCACGCAGCGTTGCTTTGTCCAGGTTCTAAAGCAGTTCGGTATGATGGTGTTTAATCTCCCTAAGAAGGGGTCAGCCTGGGCCCCGGAAAGCGTCCTCAGTAGGGCATCTGGACCTGTGAGGTTCACACCCAGGCCTCCCACGGTGTGGCCTTTGTCGACGTGTCACTTCACCTCTGCGGGCCTCAATCCACCTGTTGGCCCATCTGAAAAATGGCTGCGGTTCCTCGTCTCCACTGCCTCTGGTCCATGCACACAGTACGGTCAGTGCATACAGCAGGTGCCTAATAAGTGTCAGCAGGATGAAGAGCTCTGAAGGGAGGGGACTGGGACACTGACCGGGGATGGAGTGAGTCAGCCTTCCCCAGCTGGCCCTACGGTTCAAGAAAATAGCTGCCAGAGCTTCCCTGGTGGCGCAGTGGTTGAGAGTCCGCCTGCTGATGCAGGGGACGCGAGTTCGTGCCGCGGTCCGGGAAGATCCCACATGCCGTGGAGCGGCTGGGCCCGTGAGCCATGGCCGCTGAGCCTGCGCGTCCGGAGCACGCCCCAGAAACGGTGCTTTCAGAAGAGCTGCAGTTGCCCAAGAAGAGTGAACGGAGACAGGGTGGCCGCTGGACTGGAAGACTCTGCCCAGCACTTCTTGGCCTCTGTTTCCTCATCCGTAAAACCAGGCGGGGCCTGCAGTGCGTCCCGCAGAGCTGACAGCGGTACTGATGCCATCCCAGCCGCCCTCCACTTGCCGGTGCTTCTTGCATCCAAATCCAAAAGAACCAAGGGCGTTTCTTAAGGCCTGAGCTAGGATGCTCACCATTGCTGGGAACTTACCGTCATCCTGGGACTGCTGGTTAGATTCCACGTAAGAACCCACCATGCAGAATCAGGGCTGGGTTCAGATCCCACCTACACCACTCACACGTTATCTTTTCTCCTCTCTGAGTCCACCTCCTTCGTCTGTGAGATGAGGTGTGGATGCCATCCATGCAGTGTTGCTGGGAAGAGCACAGACAGCGTGTGTGAAACACCTCCCACCGTGCTTCCCGGGTACCTATTGCATTTCTTCCTAATTATAATGATGGTGGGATGTTGCCCGGTATCAGTGTTGGTGTTAAAATCCACCAGTCACCAACTCCTGCC